TAAGTCAGTGAGAAAATACAACAGATAAAATGATAAGATCAAAAATTACATTTTTAAATGATTAATAAAATTGATAAATTTTCAGTATAATACTTTATGAAAAAATAAAAAGACATAAATAAACAATATTCGGAAGAGGAATAAATGTAAATACCATAGACATTATGAAACCTTTCAGAGGACATTATAAATAAATTTGTTAAAAAATATGAGCATTTAAACCCAGGAGTTAAAAATCTTTGCTCAAGTAAAGTCCAGGTCCATATACTTCACCCACAAGATTTCTATAATTATTAATAAATAAATAATTCAAATACACAATGAATAATTACAAAGTATAGAAAATAGGAAGCATTACTGAAGTCATGTTATGAAGCTATCATTACATTTTCACCAAAATGTATAAGGACTCCATGAGAAAAAAATTATTCATGACCAATGATTCACTCATGAATAAGGATTCAAAAATGATAAACAAAATATTAGTAAACCAACTAAAACAATAGATTTTGTCCAGAATTGCAAATATGATTTCCATTAGAAAATCAATAGATATAATTCACTCAAATAAAGGATTAAATAATAATCATCATATGTATTTCAACAAATGTAATAGAAGAAAAACACCTTTAGTAAATTAACATTCATTTAGGTTAAAAATAAAATAAAACTCATAATTTTTCAGCCAATCAGATCCAAAAAGCTTAGCAAAAATGGTAAAATGCCTTTTCATTAAATAGATAGCTAGAAAAAAATCTGAACAAGAGTGTTTAATTTGCTATTGTCAGAAAAATCCCAAGTCAAGACTAGCCACCAATACCCACTGTTCAGTATTACACAGAATTCCTAGCACCTACAATGTCAGAACAAAAAGAACTAAAACTATAAGGTACAGAATGAAAGTAAACAAAAGAAAAACACTGTCATTATTTGTAGTATCACATTGTAGATATCACAATGTAGATATCTACATTAAAAATTTAAAAAACCCTATAGGTAAATGATTATAATCCATAGAAGAACTTAGACTTCTAAATTCAGATCAATATTAAAACTAATATTTCCATATACCACCAACAATGTGGGATTTCAATGAAATCAACATGCACAATATCCACATTAATTTTCCAGGGATAGCACTGGAAGTATCTGAGAATAAAATTACAAATACATCCCTAAAGATAGTGAAAAAGCAGCAAATAAATACAATGTATACCATAGAATTGATGGTTTGTTATTGAATAATGTCACTTATCTCCTAGTGTATAAAGATAATATTATTCTAAAATTTAAATAACTTGGTTTACCTATGGATTTGTGTGTCAAATTTGACAAGCTGAGTGGAAATTTTAAAGAAAGGCATAATGTTAGGAATGGCTGTACATTCTCAAGGAAGAAGAGCAAATAAAGTAGAAGGAACTTTATCATATATCAGTAATCATTATACAAACATAGTACACATAAGATACGCTATTAGCTTAGGGGTTTTTACCCATAGAACAGAATTAAGGACCAGAGAAAAAACACAAATATGAAAACTTCATATATAACTGAGTCAGCACTGCTGAGTGATGAAGGTACACTTTCCAATAAATGGCACTGTTTTAGTTTGTCTAAATGGATGAGAAGTAAATAAATATTGAATCCCCCCTCTTACATCAATAAATTGTGGACTAATTGGGTTTAAAACCTAGATATAAAAGATAATGTTCTCTAACTTTTAAAAGATAATATAGAATATCAGTATGACCTATCCTTTAAAACATAATTTCCAAATTTGACTACATTAAAAGTAAGAGCTTCTAGAAATTTTATAAAAATAGTGTACAAAATATGTAACATGGTATTTTCACCACATATAACCACTAAAGGATATTTACAATAAATTAAGAGCACTTTGTGGATCAATAAGAGAAATAAATTCAAAAATTAAAAGTAGAAATGGGAATTTGACCAAGAAGAAGGCACGAACAGCTCATAAGAATAACAAAGATATCAACTACATTAGACCTTAGTAAATTTAAGTGACTATGCAAAGTTAAGTGACTGTGAGAGATTACATCATACCACTAATTTAAGGGAAAAACGTCGGGCACTCCTAAGTGTTCACTTGGATTTAGAGCAGTGGGAATTCCATCCACTACTGAGTAGAGTGAAATCAGTATATCAACTTTGGAAAACAGTTTGTCCTGGACTACATGACATACCTGAAATGTGCATTCCTTAGACACACAAAATTCACTATTCAATATGTACCCTATGAAAATACTGTCTCTTCCCCAGAACCACACACATGAATATGTATAACAACATTGTATATAATAACCAAAACCTGGGAACCCCCCAAGTGTCTGTGAAGAGAAGAATGTTGTAGAAAATTAAACAATAGTAAAAATGAATCAGTAGAATTCCATGCATTGTCATGGGTGAATCTCAAACATAACTTGACTGGGGAGGACAAGGAGGGTGTAGGGGATAAATGGTGATGGAAGGAGACTTGACTTGGGTGGTGAGCACGCAATACAGTGTACAGATGATGTGTCATGGAATCGTGCACTCAAAACCTGTATAATTTTGTTAACCAATGTCATCCTCAATAAGTTCAGTAAAAAGGAAAACATTTAAAAATAATAATAATTTTGAGAGAAGAGAATCATAGAGTATAATCAATTTTCCAATAAAGATCCATCACAGGCAAAATGCAACCATATTTATTTAGGACTAAATATATAGGTGGGAGGAAAAGCTACTACAGAGAAAAATAAGAGTAAATACAAACCTCAAGACTTGGAGGGGACAGAATGGAACAAATGATCCTTTTTCTGGACCTGGATATTGAGAATGGGGAGGATTATTTTGACTCTGTACTCTGTGTGTTGTATGTGTTTACTTCTTTTGTTTATATTTCATGATATTTAAAGAATGATGATTATAGTCTACTGCATTTGTAATATATCTTCGAGTGACTCATACAACATACTAATATTTAAAAACTTTTTAATTGCAATGAAAACTTACATTTTAGGATACTTAATAATTACCAAATTTCTTTGAGGCCAATTTCCCTTGCCTCACTTGACAATGAGGATGTAAAGGCACATTCATCCAGGAAGCAGAAAAGGTAGTATGAAGAGGAAATAAATGTGATGTTCTGAATTTGTATCTAAAAGTCCTCAGTACAGTGAAGGGTAAGCACCTCAAATCAAGTGAAAGTAACTTCAGTGAATTAACAATGACAGCTATCATTAGCTGAGCTTATAATATGTCCAAATAAGTGGCCAATTACTTAGGGTATATTATCTTTAATCCACACAGTAATTCTGCTAAGTAGAGTATAAGAAAGATAAATTGACTTCCTGCTTAACCTAGCTCGTGCATGGAAAAGCCAGGATCTGATCCCAGGCAGGTCTCTCATACGTCCGCAGGTCATTACTTAATATTGCCCAGATATTATTGAAGGTCAGATAGTGGTGTGTAATGGAGCATGATAAGACCTGACTTTTAATCTAGCTCTGCAAATTATTAGCTGTTTGACCTTGGATAAAATTTAATAAATACATTAGAATTTAGCCTTTAAAAAAAAACTCCTTGAGGATAACAAAACCTATCTATTAGCTTTATGTTGAGATTTAAATAAAACACATACGTAAACCACCAGCACAAAACATCTATGCAAAAAAATTTTAGCTTATTCTATTATTATTATTATTATTATTATTAACACTTTGCAACTTCAATTAATTAGATTATATAAAATCTCCAAAATTTTTCAGCATTCTTTGGTTCAAAAGGGGAATTGATGGTTGAATGAATACAGGGCTAATCAAGCAAATAGAGAAAAAAAGATAAGAGAGCTCCCAAAGTGAGAATGCTGGTAACGAATGCGTGCCCATGATTGTTTCTAAGGTAAGGCCAAGGTAGAAAGACAATGAAACTTAGAGGAGAAAGATTCTCTGAGGAATAGAGAATATCCTTGAGAATAGCAGCTCTAATGAAGGCCGGGGAAAGTGAAGGGGGTGCTTTGGGGAAAAGGAATTAAAGAAGACTATAATTAGATCATCCACACCTGACTCAGAGCTCAGAACATTTCACCGCCTTGAACAATTTCATAAATACTAAAATACCATCATGCCAGACTTCCCAACAGGGTGAGTTATGAGGAAGGTTGGGCAGCAGGACCTCACGTTGTGGCTGGTCATGGTTCTGCTGCCGAATCACCCGGAATGCAGTACCTCAGGGCTGCTCAGATGTCTTTACCAAATAATAGCTTCTCTATTTCTGTGACATCCTCACTATGAAAAAAAAACTAGAGCCAGAGCTCCTTTGGTCAAATAATAGAATATGGACTTCCCATGACTCACTTTTATCAATTTCTATGTACGGAGCCTTCTGTGTCCCTGTGTCCAGCATCCCGATTTTTCAGTTCTAAAAAACTTGCTCTTCCCCATTAATTTTTCCAACAAGTAAAACATGTCCTCTACCTCTAACCCAAGAGTAGAATTCTGCTGCACATGTACAGACCCACTTGACTAAGGTTAACTGCCTTTCTGTTTGTCCAGGTTTTGCCAACCTGAGATCCACGGCTCATGTAATTCATCCACCTCTTGTATCCCTGCCAGTGTCTAGAACGTGGTTCTCCTTTCATACATTGTATTACCAGTGAGTCATCCCCCAGCCCTGAGGAGTCAATCTAGTTCAAGATACACATCCATCAATTCTTACTGATAAATCCCAAGATCCCCCAGAAATTATTAAAAAGCAGTTTGGAAATACAAAGCGCTATAGATTTCTAAAAATTTAACAACTTCTTCAGCTAATATTGTAAGGGCTATTATTTGGTTTCTCTCTGAAATATGAAATTGTTTTAGCTCTGTCCCCTGTGGACCTCCAATATCCCCATGAGACATACCTTACTGGGCAGAAGGAATGCTAATTAGAGATGCTTTAAGTGGCACATGAGACACTGCAGTAAGTGAAGTAGCTCACACTGAACTCCATACCTGAGCGCATAGCCTCTTTCTGAATGCTTTCATAGTCATGCCAGTCTTTTCTTCTCAAACCATCTGTCCATGCATAGAATTGCCCATCTCCCAGGCCCAGTGGAAATGTCTGTGGAAAAGGAAAGTATTCAGAGTATAAAAAGGAGGTATTTTCCTTTTGCATGGTAGGTAAACACAGCCAGGCACATAATAGGCAATCAAAGAATATTTGTTGAATGAGTGATTCTTCCAAGTTCACTGAAAAGAAAGCTATTGCTAGTGACCAGATGAACACATATTTAAAACCTGGTTTCAGCTCTTAAAGCAGGAGCATGCATCAACCACAGTCCCTATCATTGCCTGTTTTATTCCATCCTGAGACAATAATCATAACTCAGTATACCACCTTCTCTGGGCACAGCAGCCTAGCTGTTTTCACTTGCCCAAAATGTAAATACTAGTAATGCTGCCAAATTTGGTATTAAACGAAATGAATTTTGTTTGCAATTTGTTCAGTTTCATTAATTTTGCTCAAGTATAGTTGAATGGCCTGATAATAACATTAGCAACTATTCACTGAATGCTCACTATGTGCCAGGTACTGTGTTAAATAGTCTGTATATAGAAGAGTTTTGAATCTTTATTATAATCTTCAGTTGTAAATCTCCATTTTTTTCTGCCAATTAAATTAAGGCCCAGAGAACTAAAATAAGTTGAATTAAACCAAAGTGGCAAAGTCGGGACTTGGACCCATTCTTTAGACCAAAACTGTGGTCTTGAAAACTAGCAAATATGGTCTCCTATTTAGATTGCTGTTAATGTATGGTACCCGGTTATGCTTAGAGTTGATACTATCATCCACCCAACAACTATAGTCACAACATTGTGTTTCATAAAACCCAGTATGTTCTAACTGAAAAAATAATTCTGGGTACACTGCTGAAGCTACTTAAAAAAAGATTTTATTTACTTAGTTTTGGAAAGAGAGGAAGGGAGAGAGAAAGAGAGAGAGAGGGACATCAATCAGTTTCCTCTCCTACATAGACCAGGACTGAACTTACAACCCAGGCATATGCTCTGACCAGGAATTGAACCAGTGACCTCTGGCTTTGCTGGATGATACCCAACCAACTGAGCCACACTGGTCAGGGCTGAAGCTACCTTTTTAATAGTGTTTAATTTTGGTAATGAAACTGTTTTAAATGAATATCATTTTTCACAACCTTAATAGTTAAGAAAATGTAAAATAGTTTCATATTTATATATCATTTTCCTTTTATTTGGTTTATGCTTAAAATAAATAATACATCTAGAAAATAAAGTAAAGAAACATTTTTTTAAATTTCTATTTAGGTAAAAGAAAAGATGAATAATTCTTGGGAGGAAATTTTATTATATGAGTGTATTGGTGGCAAATGAAATGTCTTATTAGTTTAAAATAGTGTAACTACTGTGCTTATGAAAACTTATCGACCTTCAGACCGTATTTATAGCTCTTAAAAGACTCACTTGTTTTTGACAGAATGAAATGGAGCTAATAAAGAAAAAAAATTAAAGAAGAGATTTTCCAAACCTGGTGACTATTATCTACATGTTTAAAGAAATTTGGTTGTAAAAGCGGTGATTTCAGGAAAAACACACAACGTTACTGGTGACTCTGTATAAAATTAAGGATATATAAAAATAAGGCTAGATTTTAAAAGGAGGTTGACAAGAAAGAAAAGCTATGGAAAAACTAACAGAAAATAATAAAATTTTAAAAAAAAGAAGGAAATGGGCAAAAACCATTGGGGTATGATGTCATGCATATTTTCTAATTGATAATGACTTTATAATTAGATATTTTCAAAAATTTATCTATGAATTAAAATTTTAAATAATCAAGTAACTTACAGTACAAAACCCATGTTTTGTCATAGCCATGAATTTACAATGGGAAGTACTAAGCTATAATGAAAATCTCTCACATCGACTCGGATAATACCAATTTATAAACATCACTTTAGAATTAAAATAGTTTCAAAATAAGCTTTGACATAAACCATGGAGATACAGTGTATAAGTCCAAATATGCAAAGCTGTCTCTGGTTACCTATTGGTTCACACACTGGACCCCTTACACAGAGGGAGAAATCAAAGAGAGACACGGACCACTCCAGTTGGTAGGTGGCAGGTTCAATACACAACGAAACTACATAACAAGCCTTGTCTTAGTCTGCCGCTGGGAGATGAGTAGATCCCTGAACCCACTTGCCAGAATCTTAAAAGCTTATAAGCGAGGCCTTAACTGGGTTCAGTGACATGTCGAGTCCAGGCAGTCCAAAACACCCTCCTCTCAAAACTACACCCTTGAAAAGAGCTCCAGCATGGGAATGGTGGGTGGAGCATACATTCCAAGGTCAAGAGGAGGGTGGGAGGAGCCTCTGATTGCCCAGTGTCTACCTCAAGGGACAACCAGCGGTCACATCCTCTTAACGACTTCCTCCAACATTCCACCCCTCCACTGGCTCTTCCTGTGTTCCACATCCAACTTCTCCTCAATGGGCCCTGTGTGTCAACAAGGTGTCTTACTAGTATCAAGGTGGCTCATTTGGCAGCAATCTGGCTGCACCCTGGCTGCGCCATAAACAGAGGCCTCAGTAACAATTTAGACACATGCAAGTGAAACACAGATTAAGATAATGATTCCCAAAATAAATAACAGTTTTTTCCACCAAGACCCCATAATCTGAACCATTGATTTATTAAGTTCCCTAGGCTGGTGGTCAGATCACTCCCTGTGTTTACTTGTGCCTTCATATGATTTACTAAAGATGACTCATGAGCAGACTCATTATGTATGAACACAAAACGTTCTCTTTAGATAGTGGCACAGGTGCCTCCTTGCGAGGCAGTAACCATGCCCAGGGACATTCTGTTTGGAGGACCAGTTTTTTCATTAGAGACATTTAAACCAGTCAGTAAAGACAGGCTATGTCAGTTACCATTCAAGTCTTGCTGGGTGAATACAGTGAGAACTTCAATATGTGCTATAATGTCCACCAGGCAGTGGAGGAGACAAATATGGTGGCCAAATGATTGTACAGGTGGAAAATAGAACATGCCCACCTGGTCTTAAGGAGAAGAGACCTGGTTGTGCACAGTGTCCACGTTGGCCGGGGGAGGCAGCACCGCCAGGGTGAGGCGATGGGCCGGGGGCAGGATGTGCCAGACCAGACTGCTGGCTTCTCCCTTGTCTCCATGATGCGTGTCCCATTTGAAGTAAAGAGCATGTGAATATGCCCGGTTTGCCACAGAACAGTGGGATTCCAGGCACTACTGAGGCATTCCCTCTTACCCAGGGATAACTCACTCATCTCTGGGGGCTGTCCCACTGAAAATCCCAGCATAAAACACCATCCCCAGGCCCAGCGAGACTTGGTGTTTTCAGCAGCATAGCTCCTCAATCCACAAATAAGAGGGGCATTGGCTCTTTGACCTCCATGTCTTTTTGGTGTTGCATGTGTTGGCAGCCTCCCTGGGCTGGCAAGGGGACCACAGGCCCTACTGGCTGATCATTCAAATGTAGTGAAGTCTGAGACAGTCCTTTAATCCAGTTGGCCGAGCTGTTTTATCTGTTACCAATTTAATCTGCTGCTTTAACTTTTTATTTTTCCTTTCTACAAAACCTGCTGTTTGCAGGTAACAGCTGAGATGGGACCACCATTCATTGTCATGTTCTTTTGTCCAGCTTGGCACATCATGACTTTTAAAATGTGACCCCCAACTAAATGTCTATTTGAGGGTATCCGTAGATGGCGCTCAGTTCTCTCACCCCCTCATGGTGGCTGCCTGGTTTGCTTAAGGACAGGGGAAGATTACATTAGGGCAGACACAGTCTCCTCCCACTCCAAGCTATATCTAGAACCCCTCACTCAGAGGGAAGGGGCCTATCATTTGCCAATCCAGCACCTTTGGGAACTTTTGTGGATGGCCCCAGACACCTGTGGCAGTTATCTTGATTGTTGTTTAGAACATATAAGACACTCTGTTAATACATTAACCTCATAACTGCAGGTCAAGGGCAATCCAACATCCTTGGCAATGTGCCATCCCCATCCCACTGGGCTATTACATTGGCCACTCCTTTGATGCATACAATCTGTCATATCTACTGAAGGGTCGGTTGCTAGGGCTTGCATTTGAGCTAAGATATCAGTTTCCTGATTACCAGGGGGTGCTAGTGCCTGTGAGCCTGGACTTGGAAGGCAGTGAGGACTGCCTCAGGCTCTCATAGACATGCTAAAATGTCTTTCCACATTCCTGACCCCATAGGGCTTATTAATGGTCATCCACCCCTTGGCTTTCAATTACCCAAGCCAGAGGGCTGATCCCTTTAGAACAGCCCAATTGTCAGTGCAAAGGATGAACGATGAGTGATTCATTCCACTTGCTGCTGCAGCTCATTCCTCTTTATATCCAGATGGTGTCAGTGTTAGGCTGATTAGAGACTGCAGTCCCTGTGGGCTGGTTGCCCTGACCAGACTCATCTTAGGTTGAAACAGCACAACTAATGTGCTAATGAAAAATCATCTACCTTCAGTCCATTTGTATAGCTTATAAAATATCTACTTGTTTTGAAAGAAGAGAAATGGAGCAGAGCATTTACTCACAAATACTAGTGAGCATTTCTTCCACTCTCTCTCTACAGGCTGCAGGGGTTGCCACAGATATAGGAGCAGAGCATTTGGGACATCTACACAATCTATAGGGTCTAGTATCTAGAGACTCTGGGCTGGTGGACAGGTTGCTCTTCTGCTGCAAACAGGCAGAGGTGAGTTGATGGAACAGATTCTCAATCCACTCTTGAAAGGAAAGGACATTCTTACCATGACATGCTGTTTCTTTGGGAGAGGATCTACTTGAAGGAGTGTTGTGTACATGGACATACCGGGTCTCTAACCCATTCCAGAATGGGGACCAAAATCCTAGGGGCACTCTCTTCTCCTGTTGTCTCTGCCACAGTGCCCAACCCACACTTTCTGGAGTCACAGACACAACTGACTCAAATGGTAGCCGTGCTTGGGAGATGCCCAGAGCTTTAACCTACTTCACTAGTACTTTTGCCTTCTCAAAGGTGGCTTGCTGCTC